GTCATCAACATGGGCATGCTCACTAGGGACATTATCGCTTATGCTGGAGAAACTGCTAAGGTAAGCCTTTTTGGACTTTTTTAAGCAAAGTATCTCGCTCTAATCTTCCCTAACAACTCCTAGTATACTTTAAGCACATGTAAATATTTTTGTAAGAAGTGCACCACTAAGTAATTTAAAAATTCAGAAAAACGCTATTCCAAGTTTTAGTGAGAATTTGGAGTTGGAGCGTTTGATATTGCTTTATTAACAGGGGACCTGTGCTTAGTGATAAGAAATTTGAGAAACTCGTTAAACCAAAAGAGAAGAAGCCTAATACTATGCCCTTTTCAGATTCTGGTTCCATACAGCGCCTCTCCAATGCCAAAGATTAAATGGGCAAAGGGAGAACTGACGCTGGATGAGCGTGATAAGAGGAACAAAGTTGAAAGCAACGACTATTTGACGACCATGACGATAGACTCGTGCGAGATCAGTGATAGCGGGCTCTACACAATTTCGGTAAGAAATTTTTGGAAAGAAAACCAATGAAAAGATGTTAATAACAATTTTCCAGCTGGAAAACTCTGTGGGCAAAGACAGTGCCACCGTGAAACTTCGAGTAGTAGATCGCCCAGGCCCACCTGTTGGACCATTGGAGATTACCGACATTGCTCCCGATTGTTGCACTCTTTCATGGAACCCACCGAAGACAGATGGTGGATCTCCAATCACAAATTACATTTTGGAAAAACTCTGCCTCAAAGGTGTTGAGCCTCAGTGGGAGAAGGTTTCCTCTTTCGTAAGGAACACAACTTACACAGTACCTCGACTTCTCGAAGGGGAGATGTACAAGTTCCGCGTTCGTGCTGAAAATCAGTACGGTATTTCCGAACCTCTTGAAAATCCAGAGCCAATCACTGCCAAGTATCAATTCAATGTTCCTAATCAACCTGATCCTCCCGTTGTTCGCGGCATGGATGCCACGTGGGCTGAGGTTGAATGGGATCCACCAGCAAATGGAGGGTCAAAGATTATCGGATATCAACTGCAGTACCGTGACGCATTGTCAGGTAAATGGATTAATGCCAGTAATGACCTCATCACAGGAACGTCATTCCGCGTGAACAACCTGCGCGAAAATGGCGAGTACGAATTTAGAGTGAGCGCAAAGAACGCAGCTGGCTTCTCAAAACCATCAGCACCTTCGGAACGTGCAAAACTGAAGCCCAAATTTGGACCTCCTGGTCCACCTAGTCAGGTGAACGCCACCTCCATCGGTCGCAATCACGTAACCCTCACCTGGGTACCCCCGATTGATGATGGCGGTTCGCCAATCACCGGCTACATTGTGGAACAACGAGAGTATGGAAGCAGCACATGGGTAAAGGTTAGCGACTACAATATTCGCGATCCCGAGTTCACCGTGCCTGGCTTGAAAGAGTTCCATGACTACGAATTCCGAATTATCGCTATCAATAAAATGGGCAAAGGAGTGCCGTCGCTACCCACATCCCCAATCAAGATCCAGGATTTGAATGGTTCTCGACCGATGATTGTTGTAAAACCTGAAGACACCGCTCAACCGTACAACAGACGGGCTGTGTTCGTTTGTGAGGCAGTTGGCCGCCCTGAACCCATTTGCAGGTGGATGAGGAACGGGCGTGAACTACCTGAAAGCACCCGATACCGTTTCGAAGCACATGAGGGAAGCTTCAGATTCACAATCAAGGAAGTATGGGATATCGACGCGGGAGAATACACCTGCGAAGTATCGAACGTCTACGGCAGTGACACAGCCACTGCAAAACTCATTGTACAAGGTAGGAAATGATGTTGAGCCACTATCAGTGTGTTATTTGATAATTTCTATTTTCAGCTCCACCTGTCATTGAAAAAGACGTGCCAAACACTATTCTACCTATGGGAGAGATGGTTCGACTGAAAATCTACTTCTCCGGAACTCCTCCATTTACACACACCCTAACCTTAAATAAGGAAGAAATCGACTACGAGCATCCAACAATCCGCACTGTCGACTTCGACGACCACATCCTCATCACCATCCC